ATCCTCCTGCCTCAGCTTCCTGAGTAGCTAGGACTACAGGCTCATGCCATCATGCCTGGCTAACTTTCTAACATTTTTATAGAGACAATGGTCTCCCTATGTTGCCCAGGATGGTCTCAAATTCCTGACCTCAAGCAAGCCTCCCACCTGGTCCTCCTAAAGTGCCAGAATTACAGCCATGAGCTACCATGCCCAGCTGAAAAGTTATATTTAAATTAATTAAAATTAACAATTCAGTTTCTCAGTTTCACTAGTCACATTTCAAGCACTCAATAACCACAGATGACTGTAGTTACTGTATAGGCCAGGGCAGTTCTAGAGAATAGTGACAGCCTTGAATCTTTGTGCCTAGGCTGGTGCTATTCAACAAGACAAAGGAATTGGAAGTCAGTCCATCTGCCCTTAAAATATAAAAGGAATATGCAGTTTTAAGATCATAAATATGTGTTCAGAAAAAAGACAGATGGTGTGTGTGAGTGTATGGGTTCTAAAAGACATTGTGAGGTGAGACTTTGGGCCCTGAAAGTCCAGAAGGGTTTCCATAGTAGTTGGGGGTGGGGATCTCATGTAGGGCAGAAGCCCAGTGTCAGGAAGGTACAGGGTTTGGGTGGAAAATGAAACTAAGAGACCTGTAACAAATAGTGGGTAAGAACATATGCTCTCAAGTCATGCTCACTAGGTATGAATCCTGACTCTGCTACTGCCTAACTGCTTAAACTTGGGCAAATTATTTAACTTGCCCTTTCCTGTTTATTTGGTTATAAAATAGGGATAATATTTCATAGGGATGTTGTATTAAATGGACTAATAAATATATAAATCATTCAGAATAGTGCTTATGACTTAAGTACTGAAGAAATTTCAGCTGCTATTATCTGAGGATGACCATTTGCTCCTTGGAGTGTACATATAACAAACCAACCAGAGCTATTTGATTTAGAACTTATATCTTAAAGCACTAAGCCTAAGCGTATAGCAACCAATTTAAATTCTAAATGCAGAACCATTTCTCAACATTTCTGAGCCATAGTTTACCCACTTGAAAATTTTGAAATTATTTAACTTATTTCAGAATATTGTAGTAGAAATTAAATGAGCCTATTCAGGAAGCAGCTGCCTTCTACTTATTAAGTATAGCTTTGGGAAAGTTACTTGTTTCTCTGAGCCTCAATTTCCTAATCTGAGAAATAGTTATCACCCTCTTTGGATCAAATACATAATATATGTAAAATGCTGAGCACAGTTACTGTCATGAAAAACGGCCATTATTATTCTTTAAAAAGACATTAAGTCTTGGTGGCTTAGAGACCTCCAGAAGCTTAGCAAAATGGTCAGATTAATTAAAGGTTTATCCACCTTGAAGTTTAGAGGCCCTTGTGTTTCTAAGCCCTAAGACACTTATGCAGGCTGGGACCAGACAGAATACATTTTTACTTCCTTATACCTGTGGTTTTAGAGGGTAGACAAACAGGAACCTCAAAAAAGAATAAGCCAGACAACCAACTTATGTGAAGGTAGAGGGTTGTTTACAGAAGCCAATGCCTTAGCAATGACTCCATGATTTTTCTGTCTTAGAAATTTAAACTGTACTGAATTTAAGTGGATAATGAGAAACAATTTAGATATGGAAAAGATAGCTTGCATTTCATCTTGTTTCAACAAGTACTCAAAGTACACAGTTTGTTTTTTTAACTTTGCAAGAGCAGATTTATTTATACATTTTAATTCTACTCATCTTTATTTCTACAATATTTCATGGTGAATAAGATGTACTGATTACCATCTTTAAAATAATGTATCTTCATTTGATTCTCAACCACTTATTCATGATTATCCTCTAGCTGTGGGTCATAGAGTTGTTCTTTTAAGATACTAGAGAGATCTTAACATTTTTCACTCATTTACTGTAACTTTTACAGAATTAAAGATCTTCATGTTTGAGTAACCATTCAGAACCTCCATTCACTTTCTTAGTCACATGGTCATCTTCCCTGGGTATCTTCTGCCTTCAGACCTCTCCTTATCAGGACACTAGTCAATGGATTTGGAATCTACCCTAATGATCCACCTCATCTTAACTTCATTACTGTACATATATCTAAGTTCACATTCACAGATGGGGGATGAGAGTAGGACTGCAACATATCTTTTTTTTTTTTTTTTTTTTTTTTTTGAGGGAAGAACACATTTCAACCCCACAATGGGTTGCTACTATTATGAGACAACATATAATGTATACATTGCCACGTTGCCTCAAAAGTATAATGAAAATGTATCATTTACAAATGAAATTTGTGCTACCCACCAATTTCTCACCTCTAGCTTTATCCCACTAGGGAGAAGATGCCAGCCAGTATTAGACGTGCAGAAGATAGGCATGCACAAGAAAAGCATATTAGAGAATACAAAGGTTAACACTGAGCTCCTACTTTATCTCCAGTTCTTTGGTAAGTGCTAGGGATACAAGAAAGAAAAAGGTACCAATCCCTGCTCTGGGGGAGCTCATCCTGGTAGTCTGGACTGGTTCCATGACTTTGGTCATAGTAACAGCCTTGTATTCATAAAGTGAGCAAACCAGTTATCCTCATCACCTTAATAAGTAAAAGAACTTAGAGACAGTCATTACAGATTGATCATACACCACCCATTTCAACAAAATCTGTAAAAGTTGAGGGGATGAAGATGAGTTGCTGAAGATGAATTAACGTTTTTTGAAGTTAGTTACTCATATATGGCTTTGGAACCCTAGGGGAAAGCAAAATGGAAAGCAAATCAGATGAAAAGAGGGTAAGGTTCTTGCCAGCTATCTTGATTCCCTTGCTTACCCTTACCCTTCACCAACATTTGTTCTGCTTACGTGCTCTGAGGTGTGAACAGAGCACCTTAGAGTGAATTGCCATTTCAAGTCATTATTTCCAAACATTCTGAACATGTGTTACATAATCATAAGATAAAAGAAAGCGATAACTATTGTCAGAGTCTAAACACCTCAATTTTATAGGTGAAACAAAGATTTTAGAATATGACTCGATTAGGGCCATGTAACTGTAATAGTACTGTAAGCTCCTTGAGAGTAGTGACCCTATCTGGTTTTGGTGACGTTTATATTCTCAGAGACTTGTATGTGCCTAGCAGGTAGTATTCAGTAAATGCATATTATGGAATGAAACAATTTGAATAATGAGTCAGAAATATACCTTTTAAATACTTTTTCTACTGCCATGATGATTTCAAATTTTTGAACAGGTTTAAGATTCTAAATTTAAAAAAAAACTTCAGGTTAGTCTAACAAATGTTGACATCATCATTTACACATGTGCTGTTAAAAATTATTTAAGAGAGAATAGTTTGTGCTACACACTAATAGTCTTGGCTTCTGCTCTCAACATTTCCTGATCATTTTACCTCTTTTGCATTAGATAGAGGAAGAAAGAAGCTAAACCAGATTTTGCTGCCTGTTCACCCAGTAAGCCTTTTACAATAGCTGTTATTTGGTCCCAGCTGTTGTGCTAAATTTAGGTTTTTGGCTTATCTGTAACTGTTCTGTCTCCCATTACCAAGGTTAATTGCAAAGTGATTGTAGAACAAGTAAAACTTCAGTTCATTTTTTAAAAACTACATAATACAGTATTCAATAATATCAAAGTCAAATCCACTGGGATTTAATATTTGTAGCATTTTATAGATTAAAGAACTGTTGCCATTTGTCAGTTTCATCTTCATGATGCCAGAACATTTCAGAGAAAATGAAATGTTACCCTCCTGAATGTTCTCTCTGCTCTAATTAGATACAATTGTGGAGTTAAGGTTAACAATTTCAGTTGTACATGTTATTTTACTGTACATATCTAAGCAGTAGAAAATGTTACTTTTTAAATATTTCATGCTTTTTTCATAAGAACTTTATCTGAGGCCCCCCAAAAAATAGAACTGTCAATCTTTCACTTTATAAAACTCTTCTGATGTGAAAATAATAGGCTCATTGTAAAAAAAAAAAAAAATTTAGAACAGAAAGGCACAAATAAAATCGCCTTAGACTTGTCCTAGTACTTTCCTGTTGTGATCCTTTTATGCAAAATTATATCTAAAAAAAAACTTTTTCTAATGAAACCAAAGAGCCTTGCAAATTTTTACCTGTCTCCATTTGGGCTCATGCCCCAGATGTACTTTGTCTACAGATTGAGTAGCTAATAGCTGCAGCGCTTGTTAAGATTGGGTTTTTTTTAAGTACAGCAGATTCTTGTCATCTGTTTGTGTTTAAATGACGACAACATCACAACACGAAATGTCATCATGTCACATTGCTATAGCACAACAACAAAATTACAGCTCCCCAACAATAACATGCTGTCAAAGTGTCCTCCTGCCCATGAGTCAGTGTTTCAGAAGTTATGAAGATTATTTTTAGCACAGCCAGTGTCTTGGAAGCTTGGGTTCTGAATCCTACTAAAATCCTTAGTGATTTGGGAAAATCTAGGGTGGGGGTGGGCTTCCTGTTCTTAAATTATCCCACTCCCTGACCCGCATAGCTGCCCACCCTCCTGTCCCGGCCACATTAAACCCGGGTTCCATTATGCGCTGCAATCCACTTGGGGCTCGATCACAACTCTGCGCCAGCATCCCGTGTGGAGGAGGAGGAGGAGGAGACTATAATTATCCTCCACGTCTGGGGCAGGCCCTTGGATGACATCTCCCCAGTTACCCTGCGCTCTAATAGCGCAGCTCCGATTCCTAGTCTCAGAATCCAGGCGCGCCTCGGCCGGCTGGGGGAGCAGCCGAAGTGCCTGGGACCTCTCAGGCTTCCCGTATTCAGCCGGTGCCTCCTGGCCGCCATCTCCAGCGCCGTCGCACCCGCCGGGCACCTGCACCGAAAACCCGGTCCCAAACTAGCGCCCCGGGGCGAGCGGCGGCATTGCCATAGCAACCGGGCGCCAGGGCCGCGGAGGCCTCCGGGGAGGAAGTGACGAGCGGGGTGGGTTGGCTGTTGTTGGGACACGTGACCCAGGCAGTGTTTTGACAGGGCAAACAGCAGAGAAAGAACTGGCCGAGCGAGGGGGACGGGGAGCCCGGGCGCTAGAGCTAGAGACAGCGGGCGGGCAAGGAGCTGGCAGAAGCTGTGGGCAAGAGGGCCGGCTGGAGATACGGGCGGGGGAAGCCCGGGGGCCGCGGGGCTCCCGTGCCAGTCAGGCAGGGCGAGGGGCTGAGCGTAGGGAGCGGAGCGAGGCGGTGGCTGAGGCGCGGGTGGATGGCCACAGGGGCGCCGGGGAGCCGCTTCGGGCTGGTCGTCTCGGGTCCCCACGGTCCCCTGAGGCAGCCCCTGGGGCCGCTGCGCTCCACACTCCGCTCCCGCCGGCCCTGCGCCTCTCGGAGCCTGAGGTCTGAGGTGGGAGTGTGATGTGAGCCGCTGGGCGAGCGGTGGAGAGAAGTGCCAAGAGGAGGCGGGATTGGGACGAGAGAGGAGAGCGAGTTAGTCAGCAGAGGTCGGCCGAGGGAGCCGAGGAGCCGGCCAGCCCGAGAGCGCCATGAAAACAACTCTCCGGCAGGGAGAGGGGCAGGCGCGGCGCTCGGTGCGGCGGGGCTGAAGGAAATCCGGGGCCGCGGCGGGACGGAAGGGGCTGCGCAGAGCAGGGGGCAAGCCCCCGGCTGTAAACACCTCCCCCGGAGCCGGCCGCGGAGGACTGGTTGGGAGTTGGTAGGGTCGCCCCGGGACAGCCCGGAAGAGTTCGTTTGGGGCTGGGGGCTGGGCAGGAGGAGGTGACTCGGGTTTCTGTGTAAACTTGGCCGCGGTTGCCGCAGGAAGGCTAGCCAGAGGGTAATTACACAGGTGAGGCCCGGCGGGGCGGGCGGAGCGCTTGGGAGGCGCAGGGGACTGGAAGAGTTGGCTGCGCCCAGGCACCAGGTGGAAGAATTTCCATACCAGCCCTGCGGAGGTGCCTCTGTTCCCAGAGGCGTTTTTGTACGAAGGGGTTAGTTTGTGTTGCTCGAATCTTTTTCTTCTTCTTGCCTGTACCTCCAGGTTATAAATAGATCCCGCTTTGGTTCAGAGACTGTGTGTCAGAGAAGGACACATTGGCCTGGAGAGCACAGAGGCAGGGAAGAGGGTGCTCGATCCGGAGGAGATGGGGGAGGCGGTGCAGAGAGAGTTTTGCTTTTTTCAGACCAGCCGAGGGTGCTGTCACCGCAGTTGGTGCCAGGAAGAGGCCTAACTTAACAGTAGTTTACTTGCAAGGTCCGGGTATTAGAATAGGGCCAGATTAATTTTATTTTTATCTCTTTCAGCATTTTGAAAACGAAGCAGAAGCCGTAGAATCAGCGGCGAGCCTGTTGAAAGAACCCACACGTGCATTTCACAGCACTTTGGGTGAAAATTGGATGTGAAAATGAAGCCAGACCGAGGTAAATTATTTAAGTAGGGCTTGTTCCCCCACCCCCTTCTTTTCTGTGCCTCAATTTAGAAGTGTTAACCTAATTCTGCAGTAGGATCAACTATTTCTGTATCATATGTGATTATCTGTTTTTGTGACAGATTCCAGCTGGTGAGGTAGAGAAAGGCATATGGAAGAGAAGGTTAAGCTTTTTTAACAAAAGTGCTTCTGAAACAGTAGCTTCAAGAGAGATTCTAGTGTATCTCAAAATGAAAGTAAAGAACGGTATTTGTATCTGTTGCCACAATACAGGTATTTTAGAGTTGTACTTGCTCGTTTTTAGGCAGTCAATTAACTTCAGCTTTCAAGAAGTTCATAAGCTTTTTAAACTTGAATGTGAACTTGATAAAATGAAGAGAAAACTTAAGATTTTGAGTTGATAAGTATTATTTTATTACTACTTTGATTAGTTGATTTTTGTGCTTTAAGCGAACTCCAAAAGTTTGCAGAGTACTTCAGTATTCAGTATACCAGCATATGGACAGTTTGGGCCACTGAAATCCCTAGTGATAAGTAAAGGTCACTTCCTTTTTAAACCTGTATTTTCAGGATTTGTAAGAATATTATATACACTGTTTTTCAAGGATTTCAAGGTAATTGTTTAATCAGTCTTCTGATTAATGGCAAGAACCAATTTTAGAAAATGTTAATATAATAATGGTTAGTAGTGAGAGCTTTTCAGTCAGATATGAGTTTGATTCCAAGGAACACTGTGAAGTGGGGATTATTTTATTTGGTAGGGGGCTGGACTAGATGACAGATTTCCTTCCAAATCCAAGTCTTTAGGATTGCAAATATTAATTTATCCAACGAATTAGATGCTTATTTTAAAATTTATATATATTAAACTGGTTATTTTTCCATATATTTTTTCAAAGTAATTAGACAAATTCTCTGGGTAAAATAGGTCTATTGAAATGCACCAGAAGGAATTGGAGAAAACTGTACTTAATTTAGTGAGTTAAATTAGTTTTAGGTGTTGGCTATGATATACAATTAGGCAGCAGCTATGTATGTATCAAGTATTAGTAAGTGTATTGCTCATGAGCAGGTTCCTTGTGTAGAATATACCAAGTTTAGATTTTTATATTATATCAATGACTTTGGAAAAATGGCACCAAGGTTAGTAATTGAATCTCAGAATAAACAAGCAAATAAAATCAAAGTCACTATTTATTTTGAATTGTTTTGAAAAGTTGCTTTACAGTCATAAGCAGTTTTAAAAATAGTATTTGCAGCCAAAACGAGTGTTAAACACAATAAAATGTTTAGTTATGTACTGATACAGATTTTTAGGGCAAACAAATTTATTCATCAAGATTTCCAAAGAAGTTTTCACCTTAAAAATTATAGCTTTCTTTAGCATTCTCAGGTAAAGATGATGGGATTGTGAGTTTAGTATTGTGATTATATTCCATAATAATAACATAAACCTTTAGACCCATGGCTTTTTTTGTCTTTTACTAAGACCAGTGTAAGTAATCTTTTACTTAGCAAACTAGTACAGAAATACTGAAATAAGCTTTTCACAAATGTACTTACCCTTACTGTGCGCAATGTAGTGTTGTATTTTCTATTCTGTTTCACGTTTTGAAAAATTGCTGTCACCACCCATTGAATTGATTTCTTCACCAATTAATGGGTCTTGATGACCTGCAATTTGAAAGGCACAGTTATGGACAACACTTCTTCTTTTTTTTTTTTTTTTTTAACTACATTGGTATCTAAAGAACTATCCTATATAAATTACTTTTCTGGATAATTGAAACTTTTTAAATGTCAAAATATTTTCAGTTGTAATCATGATATATGGAGACACTTTTAAAATGTTCATGCTTCTGGTTTGAGATTTTTTTTTTGTCTCTAGTTTAAACTATCTCAGCCTATCTTTTTTATTCTGATTTTTATGTTCCCTGGATGTCAATAGTTTTTGTTAATATATTTATCCTTGCCACCTTTTAATTTTCCTGCTTTTAGTCTCTAAACTGGGAATTAGATAACTGTACTTAACACTAAGTTTTCTATAAGATGAACATAAATAGGAGAACTTCTCAGCTACTCATTCAGAATGTGAGTAAAGTGTGAATTTTAATGTAGAGACTCAGATACTAGTTTCATGGGAGACAGCTGTACGTCAAAGAGTTAAAGTTTCTAAATAAATACAACAGCCTCTTATCCTACATGATTGGTTGGTTGGCTAACAACCAATCATGTAGTTGGTTGGCTAACAGTAAAAGTCTAAGGTGGGGGTCAGGAAAAAAAGCTTAATTCTTTTTCTATTGACTGTCTGTTTTTATGGAAGGTATGGGGAGCATTGGTCAATTCTGCTCTCTGTACCCTCCGTAAAAACAAACTGATAGCCAATAGAAAAAATTATCTGAAGATCAGGAGTTTCTACTATATTTTCAAATAAGATGTTATGGTATAGCATGATAGCTACATTTCACAATAGTCGATAGTATTTCACTGTAAAGGTAAAAAATTTAATTTTAAACAATAATATAACATTACTTGGGTAACACTGCCAAAGATGAGTCTTAGATGTTGTCTTTAGCACAAGCTTTTGTGTTTTTATACTTGTTCCATTATTTGCTTGCTCTCTAATCTTCATCACATAACCTCTAAGAGTCTCAGTTTCCTAATCTGTAAAATGGGAATAATTCCAACTTCTCACAGTTAGAATGAAATATGACAGTGCTTGGCACATAGCAGATATTAAATAAATAATAGCATTTATTATGCTAAATAAACACTATAGATGCTTATATATTGGTCAGTTATAAGATACACTCAACAGAAGAAATAATGAAATGTTTAATAACCTAACGCTATTTTGTTTTGTTTTGCATTCATAGTGTTCAACCTAAGGCTCGAGCAGATTAATAATTTTTCAATATATAGTTATCTGAGAAAATATAAAAACTACAGAAGGATACTTGCAGTATATGTATAATGTGTTTCTTTATATTGTCATTTGCTATTACAGTTATGATTTCTATATGTCAAGGATGACATGGGTGGACTAAGCTTTCTGGAATAATTAGATTTTTAAGTGATGTTAACAGCTGACTAGAGCTGGGCAGCTGGAAAATTTAATGTTATTCCACCTTTGACTCAGGGATGTACAAGTTTGGACCTGGTTCTAGATCTGTGTGTATATTGAATACCTGGTGTTTCAAGAGAAGTCTAAAGTGTGGTCCATGGCCTGTTGCGGTGACTCATGCCTGTAATCCCAGCACTTTGGGAGGCTGAGGCGGGTTGATAGCTTGAGCTTGAGACCGAGACCACCTTGAGTTCAAGACCACCCTGGGCAACATAACAAGACCCTATCTCTATTTAAAAATAAATGTGGTCTTAGTGTAGAAGTAATTAAAAACATATTAGGTTATGTTCTAAATGTATTTCTAATTTTGTATTTTTGATATCTGAGCTTATCAAAACTGCTATGAAAGATTAAGACCTATAAAATAAATCATCAATAAATTAGTAATTTAAATCTACTGTTACAATTCATATTCAAAAACATTGTAGGCTATTGATCTTTAAGTTAAAACTATTAGTACAAAATGTGTTCCACAAACAAAACACCACACTATTTTGGGGTTTTTGTTTTTGAGGTTAAAACAGAGAAGTGCTTAGTTTTTTCCTCCATATTGGCTATATTACAAATTTAGACATTAGCCTTAGAATTCCAGTGGTTTATGAACTTAACTGTAGCATATTGCAACCCTGTTAACCTCAAACAATTCACTCCTAGGCAGGTGAAATAGGAGGAAAGAAGTGTTAAGGACTAGAAAAATGTAGCAAAGCAATTAGGTGCATTGCTTGCTAAGAATAGTTCATTGTTAGTTGATGTAAGTCAAACAAAAGAAATGGCAGATGTTGAAGAAGAAATATTGACTAGATTAAATAAAGCAGCCTTTTGCTAAATTCCCAGGTAGAGGTGGTGGTGATAGTATGAATAACAATAGTTAATACTTGTTCATAGTATGTGCCAGCCACTGTCTTAAGTACTTCACATATATAACTCATTTAATCCTCACAGATACTCAAGGAAATAGATGCTGTTGTCATCTCTGTTTTATGGATAAATGAAACTGAGTCACAGAGAGAAGTTTGGTAACTTACCCAAGGTTACACAGCTAATAAAAGGGCATGCTTAAATGTGAAGTGAACTTGAGCATATTGAGCATATGCTCTTAGGCTCCCTGACTGGTAGCAGTAACTAATGTTAAAATACCATAAGATTTTGTGACCAAAGTGGTTTAAAAATACTTGAGGAAAACTCAAAACAGGTATTTGGTAAGTATTGTGATCTTGGAAAGCTGCGTATCCTCTCTGCCTCAGCTTTTATCTTTACAATAGGGAAAGTAATAGTACCTCAGCTCATGGTTATTTTGAGGATTAAATTAATGTATGTGATGTGCTTAAAACAGTGGCTGACACTTAGCATTCAAATATAAACTATTATTTTTGGACATTTTCTAAAGAAGAAGCCAGTCAGTGAAAGCTGAGGAAGACAAAAGAAGGGGGCTAATTCAGCTGCATGTTTTGTATATTCACTGTGATCTCAAGTTAAAAGCTGGCTACTGTTGGTCTTTCATCCATTTATGTTGATGAGTCTTGACATCAGTAGCTGTCAAATAATCACTGGCTTGATACAACTTCTGAGATTCAGATACTATAGGGGTTGACATAGAAATACCCCGTCTGTGTTTTTGCCTGTCATCCAGTAAGAAGGAAATGATTCAGTGGACTAAACTCTGTCATTTCTTTGAAGAATGAGAAAAAAAGATAATTGGAAGGCAGAACTGAGAGGCAAATGTGTATATAAGGAGAGTGACTTAAAAATTGATTTTCCCTTCAAGAACTGAAGAAACCCATGGGGTCTGAGCATTCTGCGTTGTGAACAAATGTAGAAAAAAATTAGTTGTTAAAGAATATTTATATTTATTCTTTTGCCTTTCTCGC